GGACAGAGGCAGTTACAATCCTTGCCTTATAGTGAGAGATTATGATGTATCCAAGAGGGGACTCCTCACGCGCAGAGGTTGAGCCTTGGGCTGCAGTACGTGGTGTCATGTTCCTACAACGGTGACTTGACTCTCTGTATCTTGGTGTCAGCAGGAGGCACAGAGTGCCYCCATATCTTGGTGTAATTAGGAGGCTAGAAAAAAACAAGCTTCTAGCATTGAGAAGGAGTTGGGTAAGGATTTTGAAAGACTGCCCGAGCCCCTTGTGGGTTTTGTTTCTAGATTTTGTAAAAACAGTGCTAGGGAACCAATGACCTGAAGTGGGGACAGTGGTGTCTGTTACCGCAGCGCTCCCGGGAGCGCTGGCTGTAACCTCTGCTCTCACAACAGATCTTCCAGATGCTCCCATTCACCTGTTTTAATACCAAGAGTCTCCCGTACGATTTGCCTCGCGTTGGCATAATTTTGTTGTGAGATAAGGTTGCTGGGAGCAAAACCAGCATCCGGGGATAGAGAGGCCRCAAGACAGGGATTGCAGACGGGTTGTAAAACTTGCCTCTCCTTCCAGGCGGGATCTGCTCTTAGCTCTTTCAGTTAAACCCCCCCACAGAAACAGGCTGGTAACGTAAACAGGAGAGGCAGCCAAGTAACAGTTCTTCCCCTTTCCAAATCTGATCTGTCCACCCGCGTTCGGAAGAAACAACCACYGGACCAGCAGCAGGAAGCGGCTGGACCAGGATCAGCAAGTTTCCAGCGCCGTAATTCAAAATCGAGCTCCGTGTTACTTGTACAATGCAAGGGATTGAATTATATAAACCCATCCCAGAGAGATATACCAGTTGAGTCTGAATCCAAACTTGGGTTGGGATTCAGGGAGCTGATTCACAACCATAACTAATAGCAGCATGCTGGAAGATTACAAATCCTCCTTTGAATAATTGTCTGCATTGGGTAGTTCTCTTTCAAAAAAAAAAAAAAAAAAAAAGGAAGAAGAAGAAAAAGAGCATTTCAGGACTATGTACTACTGAATTATGCTTCAGTTGCCATAAATAATACTGCTTAGCATGAATGCACTGAGATCTATTCACATAGCATGAATTTGTTTTCATCTTTTGAAAATGGTAGAATTCTGGGATAAACACAATGAAAGAGTTTTTTTTCTTTTTTCTCCTGCACGTGGCTGAGAATAAAGCAAAGGGAGTGTTTTTATTCCCAGGCACAGAAATAAAGTATTGGTAAAATCCAGGCTAATAGGTGTACTGTAGATGCAGATACAGTGTACATGGTGTCATGACGAGCTGCTCCCTTTCTCAGAACTGATTTACAGAGTAATTCTGAAATTTTAAACATCCTTTTACAATCTGAGGCATCCCTTTCTACTATGATTTTATATTGGTATTCTGATAATTCCCATAATGTAGGGCAGCCTGTGCCAGGGCTCTGTCACCCTCACAGGGAAGAAGTTCTTCCYCATTGTCAATCAGTATCTGTTATTGTTCCCTGACCTATTTCAGCAGTCATGAAAAGGAGTGATACTGGAGTAGCATTTAGCTGCTTTGCCACCTGAGCACCGTGCAGAGAGCACTCACAGGAGTGCTGTGAAGGCATCTAAGGATATAAACAGGGCATGAGTGAATCAGACAGCCAGTCTGCCAAGGTGGCTGGGCGCGTAAATCCYGTGGTGCCCTTCATACAGGGATTTACACTTTTCCACACTCACATGCCGAACCAATGTAACTGCCCAGTTAAAAGGCAAAAGAGGTGCTATAGGCTTCAGGATAGTGAGCCACAAGGGTCTCACTGTAGACATATAATAAGAGAAAAAGTTTCTTTTGTAGCTGTATATATTGCACTTCATTCTTAATTTTAAGTAGTCTGATCTTTTTCCTGCCCGGGAAATTACTTATTCAGCAAACTGTCTACTTAATGTGAAGTTTTCAAATGCAATAATAGGTGTACAGATTTTATACATATTTGCACAAATGACTTAATTGATGTTTCATAAGAATGCAGAAGATACTTGTGAGAGAAGGGCTTTGTCTTCTCTCACAATGTCAGAGTAATACACAATGTACTACAAGTAAAATGACATTCTGAATAAGTATAATCACTACATTTTTGTGCTATCCGGAGGCCTCTGTGACTGATTAGTCATATTCTGCATATTAATTACAAAAAGGTCAAGCGTCAGCATTGCTGAGTGCCTTATACCCCACTGATCTTATTCAGTTGCATGTCCACGTCACTAGAGCTGTGTGAATAACATGTTGTTTAGTTCACTAGCAGTTCTGCAAAAGAGGAACCTCTTCAACTGGGAAACATCAGGAGGGGGTTGAGTTTTTCTGACGTTAAATAAATAGAATGGGACGACCAAGGCATTTTATTTCAATTGTGAGTGTCTTTAATAAAAGCAAAGGAAAAAAAAATGGAATCAAAGAGTTGTGTTCACAGGAGGATGTGGAATCAACTCATAAAAGYCGTGAGGAGACCCACTCTTACCATGAGGACATCCACCCTTACACATCCCAAGTCTTGTAAGAGATAAGAGCCTGAACTAAGTCCCTTCTCTGAAGAAATCAAAGAACAGACTTAAAACCAGAATTTGCAGAGAGCGCAGAAACATGGTAGGCAGCGGGCAAGAGTCCGTAGCTGGTTGAGTCGCCTTGGGAATAGTGTTTACACCTCCCCTGACTCATATATCAAGACTCATATCTGACTCAAGAATCTATATAAGAAGTGTTTCTTCTTGGCCAGGCTAGACCTGTTAGACCTGTTTTTGATTTTGTTTTTATTGTTCAATTTTAGCTTAACCAAGACTATTCCCAAAARCTTACTTTTTGGAATCTTTTTCCACTTTTTTGTGGAATATAATGAACACTTTACCAGGCATACTCTGATAAAGACTTGAGTGAAGAGTATTGTTCTTTCTGTGCCACAGTAACAGGAYTCTAGTGGACTAGGACTGGAAGAGTTTGGTCTGTCTTGCTGTTTGAGAATAGGATACACTCACCTGTTCTGTTCCTCATCTTCTCCTTCTCCCTCTCTGGCTTGAAAATACGAATTATGTTTTATCAGTGAAATTACTTCTCAGATTGTACAATCCACTAGGAAGATTAATACTGGTCTTTTGTAGCGATGATCTATGTGCTGCAAATGCATAAATTTGCATATATGAAAAAGAACAAATTTAGATAATTGAGCGGTGCAGAGCTTAGTGCTAGGAACATTCATACAATAGTATCTGTTTCACCAGATGTGCGTGACTAAGCGGCGTCTCGTGGCTTCTGCCAGATTGCTAACTCCAGAAGGGGACACCAGAAGTATGACCTTTAAATATGCAGGGAGAGAAACAGTTACTTGCCAAGTGCAAAAGATTGCAAAGCTTCAAGAACAAATTATATGGCCAGTGGGCATCGAAGCCTGAAAGCTGAGCTGCACAGAAAGTCATGCAGACAACAGAATAGTTTTGTTCCTGGCTTATATTCTTYGTAAAAGTAGGATGCTGTTGCAGACAGTATAATTTATTAAGACAATGATTCATGGGAAAGCAAAATTTCTGAATACATTTAATGATATATGAGAATCCTCATTATTTATGCAGTTAGGGAYGTGGAGCTTCTAGAGAGGGTCCAGCAGAGAGCAACAAAGATGATTAAGGGACTGGAACATCTCTTGTACGAGGAGAGACTGARTGAGTTGGGTCCRTTYAGCTGAGAAGGCTGAGAGGGGATCTGAACAATGTGTGTAAGTACCTGAAGGGGGAATGTAGGGAGGAAGGGGCCAAGCTCTTCTCAGTGGTGGCCAGTRACAGGACAAGGGGTAATGRGTGCAAGCTGCAACGCCCATCTCCATGTGAGGAGGAACTTCTTTCCTGTGAGAGTGACAGAGCCCTGGAACAGGCTGCCCAGGGAGACTCRGGAATCTCCTTCTTTGGGGATCTTTGAAGCCGGTCTGGATGCCACCCTGTGCCCCGTGCTCTGGGTGTCCCTGCTGGAGCAGGAAGGTTGGACTAGAGGATCTCTAGAGGTTCCTTCCAACCTCAGCCATTCTGTAAGTCTGTGTAACTCTGTACATATACAGTAAATCCCTGTGTAAGTGTAAATTATGAACAAAGTAGCAAAATGCCAGCTTCTTACCTGTATCAGCAGGTAATGAATACGCTGTAGGCACTTGCAATCCTTCCATGTCAGAGCATTAAGTCAGAAGACAGAGGGCAGAGGGAATCTTTCTAAGAGTGACTTTTCCGCCTGTGATATATTGACAAAGAATTTCTAATCTGCTCTTAGATGGATTATTTGTTAGCTACTTTTCTTTTTTCTGTGAGAAGTGCTGAATCTGTGAGAAGYTTTCTGTGAGAAGTTCAGAAGCACTGAATAGGTAGCAGATTATAGATTCATTGAGCAGACTCACAAGAGCAGCTGGATTCGAGAATGTTACTGCAGTTGGGGTTCACTGTGTGCTGTGTTCCTCGCCGTTGCCTCGATGGCACAAATGGGTGCTGACCAGAAGAAATGCAACCTGCACACTCTGCCGAACAGTTCCCGTGGGTGCTCACGCTGGCCAGTGGCTTATTACAGTGTTACAGTAAAGWTGAGCAATGAAATGCCTTGTCTGATACACTGCACGTGCATCTTCACGAATGGATCAGAGCTTGCGGAGGGGGAAAATACTTCCTGCAAGTGGGAGAATGGGAGAAGGCGGCCCTAAAGCTCGGGATGCGCCTGCGGCTGCCGTCGCCCGCGGCAATGATCCCCTCTCTTGTGTGTTGTGACACTAGGTGAGAAGCGGGCGGCGGAGCCGGACGACGCGGAGCTGCTGAGCCTCAGCAAGAGGCTGGTGGAGAATGCGGTGCTCAAGGCYGTGCAGCAGTACCTGGAAGAAACTCAAAACAAAGGCAAACAGGCTGACGGAAGCCCTGGGAAAACCGAAGACGCAGCGGGTGGCAGCAAGCACGAAAATGAGCACGATGGCAGCAAGTGAGCGCGGCGCAGAAGCCCCGGAGCAGATATAGGCCGCCGAGAGCCGCCGCAAACACTCGTCCGAGCTGCGCGCTGCAGCTTGCTGCGGGCGCCGGCCTTGGCTTTGCGAGCCCCTTAGCACCAGCTTGCTGTGGGGCGAAGGACGCTGCCGGGCAGCTCAGCGAACGCCTCTGCCTTGCTGGGGAGCGGCCATCGTGGGAGAGGGGCACGGCGGGCAAGGCAGGGGTGACGCCGGCAGCCCCGGCCCTCCCCGGCTCCTGCTCCCGAGTCGCTTCCCGCTTTGGGACCCTCCGCGCCGGCCCGGGGCTCGCGCTGCCTCCACAGCCACCGGTCCTCAGCTAAAAATAAGTGGCCACTGCAGATACCCACCGCAGATACTATTGCACAGTATGTAACGCAGCAGGAGGTGCTCTTACGTATGACACTGTGCTCTTCTTTACTTTTTGGTAACACTTGTTCAAATAAATTATATTTTTTGACAAAGTATGACCTTTTTATATGTAATAAATGTGGGGAAAATTCTTAGCGATTAATACTGCCCTAAACAGAAATGTTCTCTTTATATCTGCACACTGATGGTTCTAAATGGCAGTAGTTATTACAAAATGTATTATATTGTTCTCTTCCTCCAGGAAAGACTCATGATGCAGACTTTATAAAGGAAGCTTTGCACAGAGAAACACAGGCCCTGTTATCCAAACTGCATCAGATAAAGAAGCTGTTATCCAGTCCTGAGGTCCACAAGAAAATTAGCAGAGAACTATTTGAAGACAGGCACAACTATACCAGTAAAGGGGAAAGTTGCATTGACTCTGGATSTCCAAATGCATGATTGTAAATTGCCATGGGGTAAAATGTCAGCAGTTGTTTAAAGACAAGAAAGAGATTTTCTTTCCTTTGTTTCTTATTTGCGGAAAATGTAACGGGTGTGAATGGCTTCTGAGAAATACCTGCACATAAGRAGTATGTTTCATAATGATGATCTAAAGCCACTGCTCAGCACAGCTTTGAAATGTGCTGAAATGTGCAGGTGTGTGTCATGTCCCAAAGTGGAAAACAGTGGTTTCGAATAAATTTGCTCAAACACTGTGCCCTTCCTCTATGATTGCAAATAATTTTTGAGATTTGTCTCACAGGTTATTTCTGTAGCAATGACACACAAATATTTAAATAATGAATACTTTTAAATACTTTGAAATGTATATTTGAGAAAAAAGCTCTTTTAATTATCTGCCTTTTGTATATGTACTGGCATTTTGGGTTAGCACTGTCTTATTTTTTATTTTTGTTTTTAAACAGCACTTGAATACTTGTATAGATGCTGATATGAAGGTTTTGTTTACATTAAATCAAGAATGTTTAAATCTTCAAATGAAATTCTGGCTCTGCTGATCTCAATGGCAAAACTCTTACTGGTTTTAATGGAGTCGGGATGCTCTCCTCAAGACTTCTCTTGAAAGTAATATTCCTGAGRATGATGTTTGCCTTTTCATTTTTGTATTTAGAAGAGCGGTGGGTTTTCTCTTTTGTTTTTGATGTTTCCTTTCTCTCCACCTTCTGCTGCCTGAGGTGGGTCTCAGCCTTCATAGGCTGGTGCCCCCATGCCAGAGGAGTCCGTGATGCTTTGGACGCACAACCCAGCAGGACAACAGCAGCTGCTGGGCAGCGCAGTCCAGCACTTGCAGTGTCCACATTGGTTTAGAACCTGCCAGGCTGTAAAAAGCTGTATCTTGTATGTCGTGATTGGTATCAGACTAGTGCTCTTAGAAAAGCTTTGTGCGATTTCTTCATTGGTCTCAAGAGCTGGTCATTTATCTCATGCTTCATGCTTACAGTTTTTTCTCAGTTTGATATATAACAGTATAATCTGAAATGCATCTCATTCATTTCCAAGTCCACGTTCCTAATAAAGATTTTTTTTCTTTGCATTGTTTGTATGTTTTCACCCATCTCCAAATGGATTTTAATAAAATGAAGTACTTTGGGAATAACAAAATGGACCGGGACAGTGCTTGTATAAATCACTCCRTTAAATTGACTGTGGGTTTTGTACCAAAATACTAATCCAGAATTTGGGTACAGAAATCAGTTGAATGAATTCATGGAGATAAGCTAGCCCTAAGTCAGTATTGCTTTAAGGAAGGCACCAGTTGGCACATTCCTTCCTTATTCAGTGTTAACTTAATTGAAAGGTTGTGCATGTAAAAAGATTATATGATCAAAATTTGAAATTCTTTAGAGACTAAATATACTCTTGCTTGTAAGGGTTGAGAAAAAAAAAAGTTACAGGTGCAACTTACTATGGTACCTGAACACCCTTCAGTGTTTAAATTGAGTTTGACTGTATTTTGTTACATTTTTAGAAATTTGTGTAGAAAAAAAAATATTTCTCTGAATTTGCTATCATTGCTGGAGAAAGAAATTCGAACTTTCACAAACTGTTCTGTAAATTCCTGCACAGAGGCTTCTACTCTCTGCACGCAGTATGTTCACTTATTCCTTAGGATGATCAAAGGCAGAAAAGAGAAGCTGAAATTTTTGTGTCCTTATAACAAGTAAGTTTCCTTGTCATATCCAGCATTACTCAGCACTTATTCATTCCCGGATAACTGTCATGATATTAAGTAATTTAAATCCAATTTWCAGATGACAATACAAAACCAGACAATCTGGCATAAAAACAGGAAAAAAGTTGCTATATTGTTTGTGAAGCTGTCATTTCCCTTTCTTCCATACAAGACCTTATCCTCAAGAAGTGCTTTTTTTCATTATCCAGCTCATAGCAGCCATAATGCGCAATTTTTAAGTAAAGCYATATAAATTAATGACTGCATTTATAAGTGGACACTTCCAGTAGGTGCCATGACCAGACTCTGCTCACTCACAGTTCTGCTGGCTGAAGAGCAACCAGCTGCCTGGGCACATGGAGAGGGACTTGGCCGTCTGGACAGAGGCCTCCAGTGCCATTTGAGCTGCCTTAGGGGTCTGACATCCCCATGGGCCTGACAAACAGCAGAAACGATGCAGGAGGCACCACCATGGGCATCACGAACTGCAGGCTCCMTGCCCACATCTGCAGGAACCCAGAGACCACATCCCACCCTTGACAGAGCAAGTCCAGCTGCCAAATTAAAGTGTAAAACTRTTGTATGGAGATGGGAGATGAGTTCTTGAGAATACAGGTACTCCGAAACCAAACCTACTATAGAAAGGTGTGAGGCTCTGGGAAGCACACACCAGAACAGTTATGTTGCCTTCCTTACAAGTTATCGTCAGACAACAATTCTTGTTTTAATTAAACAGCCCTTTGCGGGGATGCCTCGAGGTGGTGATGCACAAGTTATTCTGGGAAGGTGTTGGAATAAAAGCAGATAGCAAGAGTTTGTTCACGTTTTATTTTTAGTTAAGTTTAGTTTTAGTTTCTATTTTCTAGCTCACTGATTAAAAAAAAAAAAAAAAAAAAAGAGCAGTAGCTCTTTTTTCCAGAAGTAGTTTAGCTGAAATGTTTTGGACTGCTGTGACTTATGTGAGAAACTTTCACAAATCTACACTCGGTTTGAGTGCAGAAACCATATCTGCACACCCCTTGCCATGTTGCGATGTGCGGTCAGAAGCTGCTCAGAAGTTGATAGAACACCTAGTTGATAGATAGGGATGTCTCTAAATCATGGTAAGTCCTCACGAATAAAGAAACTAATTCTTTGATGTAGGAAGAGAGACTGTTTCAGACTTAGATGATTTTAAGCATAGGAGAACACAGAGTAATTTCGCCCAGTCTGGCAGCTAGATAACAACACAGCACATGGATGTGCATCGAGCTCTTGGTAAAAAGAAAACCAAACAATATTTCTGTGTTGACTGTAGGTGATACAAATCTAAACAGGAATCGGAGCTTAGGGTCAAATACAGATACTGTGAATCCACATATCCAGATACTGATAACTACCCTGGGTAATACCCTAAATTGGCAAATAATTCTMGTGAAATAAATATGATGCCTTGAGCAGTAAAATATCATCAAATGTCAAGGTTGAAGGATAGAATTCAAGAGACTAAGTGCTCCATATAYAGAAGTTTTGATTCTCACTGTGCACACGTTTTGGGTAGTATTTTATCGTAAAGGCCCGGTGAATCTCACCATGGATCAAAGACTGTCAGCCATGCTTCATTTAAGTGACAAGAATGATACCGTGTGATTTTTATGTCAGTCTAGACATGACATATTCTTGTTGGAATTCCAAATTTATTGAGGTCTTGAGACACATCTTCAGCTGCTTGTTGATTTATATGATCAACAAGCAGGGGAAATAGGTGACAGATAACCAAGTCAATGGATTTAACAGCACTTGCAATTTGAAGTTTAGAATACATGTTCACTTGTTAAATTCAATTATTTTGCAGAGATTTTTAATGAAATGAAGTGTAAATTGAAAAACTTTCATTGCAGGTAAAATGCAGGCAATGAAACCCGCTATCTGCAAGCCAGCTCCTAATGAGTTTGACTTCTGCCGATTCCAGGGGAGATTGATAGCCAGACACCCGAGGCTTGTTTCTTTTTCTTTCTAGCAGGTTTTATTTTACAGAGGGTTTTTCAAAGCAATCTTTATGTGTGGACCCCCTGAGGTTCTGTTCAACCTTTAATAATGGTCTTGGAAACGATGCGTCTGAACTGCGAGTACAGCTTGGAGCAGCTTCTCTCTCGTGAGCCGTATCAGAGGAGGGGGAAGGTTGTCACTGGCTCCCCAGAGGAGACAACGGCCCTTCCGAGAAGCCTCTGTTCTCCCTCCGTGGTGTAAGAGACCTCAGGAAGGCTGCGTGGCTGCTTGCTGAAGTCGAGAGCTACAGGTGACCACAGTCTGATCGTTCGTCACTGAGGCCGCTTTAAACCTCTCGACAAATACAATTCCTGATGTCATCCATGTTAAGAGGTCATCCTCCTTGATGGTCCTCGAAACGTGGTAAGTGGCTAAGCTATATGATTAGTAGACAAGCCTTGTGGAAACTGTTCTGAGCCAAGGCCACGTAGTGATTTAATTTGTAGCAATTTGTGAGCACATTTTACAATTCCAGCTCTYCCATAAGGTTTCACATGAAGGGAAAGCAGAATCACTGAGGTTGATGGAGGTTGCCTCTGCCTTTCAAGGACTAATTAGTGCCATACATTAATGCTGTACAGAAATGAATTGCAGTTGTTATTTCAGTTAAGCAAAACTGGCATGGTTTCAGAGGCAAGAAGTCATACCATTTGTATGGAAAGGGAAGTGTTTGAACCCGGGAAAAGGGAGCACATTAATGTTGACAAGTGTTTCACTCCGCTCTTCCTTTGATCAATACAACTTCTGWATAAGCAAGTTCCTACTGTCTGCTCATTTATATTCTCCTCATGGCAGGTCTTTATAATGAGAACATTTGTACTGAATGAAAATCACTCCCCAGAGACGCCTGGCTGAGAAATAAAGCACAATCATAGTGGAGCAATAATTGGAACAGTACATAGGAAAACAAGAAGGGATACGCCTGCTATTCCTGGCGCAGCAAAGGGACCACTTCAGCACGGATAGGCAAGTGCTTTTACAGCGAGGGGCTGGAATTTGACTGCTGTGACTGATGGCACAATAAGACTCCTGGGTTCTGGTCTCTGCTCCGATGGCTGTTTATGAGCTTTAAATAGTTCCTCTTGGATGCAAAATGCAGTCTCRGGCATGGAAGTGTTTATTCCAGGGACCTGTCCTCATTGCTGGAAAATGAAGTCCCCTTTTGCTCTCGGCGATTAAAGATTAAGCCAACCAAAAATGGAGAACTGTGGGAAAACTGCAGTTAAAAGGAAATTATTAAGAAATGACACATGAAGATTTCAGCAAAAGCCTGTTTGAAATAAAAGTTCTCCTTCCAGATAAAAAAGAGAGAGATGTTTAGAGATCAGGATTGACTCTAGGGGTGACTGACTCTAGGAGTTTGTTTTGTGCACAAAACTACAATTGAAATGGTTGCAGTTTCTGAATTCTTTTTTTTTTCCTCTCCCCAGCTGTACAGCAGACTTCAGAAACTAAAATGCTCTGGAGAGAATAGAAATTACTGTAACTAAACTCCAGACATCACTCAGACAAAAATATAACACGAAAGCAAAGCAAAGAAGAAACACCAGAAGCTACTGGTAAGTTTAAGAATATAGCAGCCAACAAAGACAGATTTAATAAGTCAAAACATTTAGGAGAATAAGTGAATAAAAGGGAAAATGTCCTGTGCATCTGGCCAGCCCAGTGTGGACACCTGTGATTGCCACTCAGCTGCTACTCCGYGGGCAAATGTCACATTTTCCAGTCACATTTTCCAATCGAACACATTGGAGTTGAAAGGCTTAATGATGGTGTTGCTGTGAAATATTGCCCTGGCAAAGCACGGAAATAAAACGATACAAGAAATATTGCAGAGCGGAGGATAAGTGAAGAGCAAGTGATCTGCAACTGAATCTGCAGGCTCAAGCAGATGATCAAGCAGATGAGGAGCTGGAAGAAGCAAAGAAATAGCACGTACATTTGAAATGCCTTTCGTGACTAAATTGCATCCTTTAGAGGTCCAGTGAACTTCTATGCCTAGAGTCAAAGTGGACCAAGTCTTGCCCTCCTGCAATGAGCCTAGAAAGCTACAGGAATTAACTGTGAATTACCCTGTAACTCCAGCACAGGCCTGTTTCCAGCCAGCAGGGCTGCATTGCAGAATGAAATGGGAAACAAGTCTCCCTGCTCCAAGAGCAAATAAATCTGTGCCCCTATGGCTAAAAACGGCTGAATGCAGTAACTTGTAAGATAAAGCTGCTACCTTATGCTTGTGAAATACATGAAATT